ATATTTTCAAGATGACACGAAATTATGTAACTATCACAGCACCTAACAACAACTTCCTGTATCTAAAGGAGCCCTGGCGTAACTGTCAGATAAGCATCAGATTGCTAACTGCAAAGCACCAGTTCAAGCTCTCCAGTTACTCCATGTTAGAAAGATGAGATGTCTGCTCCTGTAAAGATTCGCAAAGTCTTCGCAACTTATATGTAGGTTTGCTATGAAATCGGAATGGACTCCATGTCGGTTGGTTTTGTTTTCTGTCTTCCTTTATCTGGTAACCTGCAAATGGCTATGATGAAGAATGATTCTGTCTTTTGTTATCAAAAGAGTAATCTTGGAAGCAGGTGTTTTGGGGAGGCTGAAACTCTCCCTCTGAAATGAAAATGTCCTCATATCTGACCCTTCCAACCCAAAAGTTGCACATTCACATAATGAGTAGGTAACAATATTTTCTCTCTCACACATTTCTTTGTTGCTGACTTCCTTTACTTAAAGAGGCAGATTAAAAGGGAAAGAGTTAGAACTAAGTAAAATTTTTTAAAATATGCAAATCTACACGGCAAAATATTTAAATTAATCTGCATAATTAAGTATAGTTGTGTAATAAGTATAGTTATTACAAACTTGAATGATGCCAGTGCTCTATAATTCTATGATTTGAGTACTATGCTGAAGCATAGGAGAAATGTGATGTATGGTAGCATATTTAGTTTTCTCTGTAGCTTTCAAGTATAAAACTAAATGAGAGTACAGAAATGAAGCTATTACATGATTAGATTATACTAAAATAACACATCTCTTATGCAAGCATAATGTTCTTTCCCTTACTATTAATATCTATAATTATCTATGAAGTAATTTTTCCCAAGATGAAAGCACACCAGGTTATTGTATTTGGACGTTTCCTTCCTAGGGGACCGGGAACTGTTCTTCTCGATGCCAGCCATGAGTCCTCAGTGTCTTTGGTCCTGGAAGGACAGGCTGAAGTCTGTTTCATTTGCACTCATTTAGTGCCACTTGGTGGTGTAAAACAAAACAAAACAAAACAAAACAAAAATGGACAAATGATTGGCTAATTAATAGGATGTCCTGTTTTCAACTTAATCAAAATTGCATTGTCTTTTTTGGTAGCAATATTTTAATTCCACTGTACAAGCATTTTGTGAGAAAAAATACTCATAGTTCACCTTGCCCTATTAGACATTGTTCAATGTTTGGCTCTAGAGGCCAGAGGCTTATCTCAAGTTTATAAGTGAAATAATTCTGGTATTTTAAATCTCTTTTTGCTCATTCTCGAGTTTAAACAATGTATAGAACAACTTTAGATTTCAATCTAAGTACCTCAAATATCCCGTTAGATAGTTAAAGTTTATTGTGCCAACCTGGCCAATGAACACATGTGGGATTAATTGAAGGGCGGAGCGATAAGAAGCTCAGCGAGCCTCGCCTCTCTTGTCTCTTGCTTTTTGATCATCGGACCAGTGTGCGGCTGCCTTGCTTGTTCTGTGCCTCAATTTGCAAGCTACACTACCTGTGG